CACCGAACCCCAACATCTGCCGACCAGAAACAGTTCCTGTATTAAAGCACAGCAACAACTGTGTGTTATTATTGATGGAGTGGGTTGTCTAAATATTGATTGTTGTCTGCCGGAGAAACAACATTCATCCTTCATATTACATTATTTATGTCAGTTTCTACTTGCGTGTACGGTGTATGTGGATCATAATTGATGTGATGGAAAGGGAGAAGGGGAATTTGGGTGGGGTTGTGAGGCTGTATATTATTCACTGTTAAATTTAAAGGTAAATTGAGAGAGCATGGAATTTCATCTCAGGATAATGTAAGCTTGCAAACGAGGATGTGTGAGTACGGTAGATTTGAATGGATTGATATCAATTCTCTAAATAATTATTTGCACGATTCCAAAATTTACAAAAAAATGTGACATTTTCGGACATTTATGAAGGAGCAACATCCTTGATGTCCTTGATTCATTTGGATTATTCCATGCGTAAGCTTAAATAATAATTGTTCATAATGATGAATGAAGTGTGCTCCTTATGATAAAGGACTGGTAATGACAACTCATAAAAATGATTTTTATTTTTGCTTGTAAGATAATTCAGGAACAAAAAAAAGATGCATGCATTTTCATGTATGCAAGGTGAAGAATTCAGACACACATTGTGTTCATGTTCAGGTACACTGGCATTACAATCTCTCCATAAAATGCCCTTCAGATAGTACATGCAATTACATGTATATTATCCTTCGTCTTTTCTGTTGCCTCCATAAAAAATAGATCTGTAACCCTATCCAAATCAGAGAGAAGAGAGGTGTTTGCCTCAGGTATTCCCAAGGTCTTGCTGCTGGACACCAAGGACACCTATACATAACAAAATCATATCTAGATACTCATCTGATATTCTGCCTACGTGCCCAGCATCTGCAATAAATTGAGCCAGAGATGCTTGGACAGGTGTGGCTATTTATTTGCCTTATCAAGTGGAGTGTTTAATTGCCTTGAGTGTCTCCATCAACTCAGTGGATGATTAACTCCTTCTCTCAGTCTGAGACATTAATTACATTTATTTCTCACCCTCTTTTAGTAGAACCAGGAAGAAAAATATATAATCAAGCAGGCCAGGGCTTATTCCACACTGACTGAGAGATTCGTGGGGCCTTCACGCATCGTTTGCTTGATCTCAGCTGGTCTCAAGGATGCCCCATATGCCGGCCTGAGCTCAATTTAACAAAGATAATTATGCTGAGCAAATTTGTGTGTGAAGCATGAATCATCTGAATATATTTTATTTATTTATTATCAGGCACATAATAAAACAACACTTACAGAAAAAGATAGGCCCGAGTATTGCCTAGAAGTGAACCAAATCACTAAAAGAGCTGCATGACACTGGCCCCCTGGATTGGTGTTTGAGATTATACGTTGCACTCTAGTATAAAAAGCAGGTGTAAAGCTTGCGTCAAGTTTATTACAATAAAACATGCACTTCTTTTTCTTGAATAACAGTTCAATTTGAACACTGCCAAAGGGGCATATTAGAAAAACCAAGAGCTACGAAAGCAGCCTGGAATTTATAACCTTTGTCTTGATAAATCGGAGACAGTTGAGATCCCCCAGATTTGGCCCAATATATGTAGCAAGCAAAGACATTGGAGCTTTAATGAAAAACGCGGGTGTGGGGCCGCACATCCTCTTCCCTTGTAAACTGTCAGGGGAGTGTTAGCATTCCCAAGACAAATGACTCCTCAGCAAACAAGGGAGACGGACCTGATGACAGGACTTGATGCTGGAGGCTTGTTGAATGTCAAGCCTATCTGACCTTTGATATTTTTGGTGGTCTTCTTGCTCGGACCTGACAACGTATCATGCAGACGGTTGTGTCAATTTTGCGAGAGACTCATCTGCGTTGTCATCTTGAACTTGATGCAGTATTCAAACGAGGAATTGTACCACAGTATTTTACCTAAACATTGAATTGTTCATCTCCAACATGAAACACGTTTTCTTTTTCTAACTGAATATCTCACAGTTTCATTTTTGTGTGCAAAAGTATGATTTTAGCATTCAGCTCAATTGTATCCACTAAAATATTGAATGCACAACTACTGAAGTCTACTGATAAAAAATTTGAGGTTTTGTATTGAAAATACAGTAACACCACATTCATGATATATATGGGGATGCAACGGTGCACACTAAACTACTGAAGTCTACTGATAGAAAATTTGAGGTTTTGTATTGAAAATACAGTAACACCACATGAGTATCTCTGATGGGGATGCAATGGTTATGGAATAGCTGCTTTACAACTGTCCCGGTACACCATGAGTTCAAGCAGAGTGCAAACCTGCGAGGCTCATCCTCCAAAGGCACCTGTACTAGACAGATGCATCATACAGTAACACGACATACAGTAGCATGCTGACCAATAGGGAAATAAAATTGGAAATTACACTAATGTAGCACCTGCAAGGCTGCACGGCTCACAGTAAATGTACACCACTGAATACCCTTAGGCAGCATTACCAGACATTTATCATCAAGTCTATCAACGTTAACAATGACAGATGTTGTATTGCAATCCTGCCCAGGGGTGTGTATGTTGCAGATTGTCAGGTGTAGTGATTCAACACTTTCACGCTCTGCTTATTTAAATGGGATGATGCCCTTTGCTCTGCCTTTTCATATAATGTATGTTTACCAACTCCATACTTAAGAGGTTAAAGCATTGAGTTCAATTCATCTCACAGAAAAGTAAAACAATTATGGATTGAAGACATTTGCAACAGTTCATTACAAAATATTAGTGATCTGCTAGTGGGGCTAACTCCAACTCCCACCCTCCCCCCAAAAAAATTCTTGTAATTTACTGAACACCAAAATTCTGCCTGTATTAAAAGTAAAGAATGAACTTTTAACAACAAGTTTACAATTGTATAAATTTGTCTCACAAAGTTTTTCAATTTCGAAAAGAAACTTCAAACAGGCAGGTCATTGAAATGTGGATACCCTGCCCCCAATTTCAATCAAATTATAGAACAAATTTCCTTCACTGTGCCCAACATCCCAATGATTCTGAGCTGTTGCCTCAAGGCGTGACAGTCAACACCCATGATTCAGGTAGCAGGTCTGAAGTTACTCCAGGTAATGAGATACTTCCAATGCCCAAGGCAGGGCATTCATGCTTTCAACACTTTCAGAATCATTTCCTCAAACAAAACGGCTATTTATAGTCTTCAGAATTTGACAAATTGTGGGCCTAGGTAGGTGGCTTGAGATATAATTGAGTGTCAGTATTAAGTGTCCAACAGATAGTGAACTAACAATGCTCAAGTTTTTGAGTAACAATATATGGAGTTCTTACTACATCCATGGCCCTTCGACTCGAAGCCCATGGCTGTAGCACAGAGGTGAATATAAAGTGGGAATCTATACAATTGTTGATGGTGGTTATGAGACTTGTACACATGTATGTATGGTGTATAAATATTCAAATGGTAAAAAGGTGTTTTTCTACCTGAAAAACAATCTCCATTATTTCATAATTGTGCAGAATGCAAAATTACTTCAGAAACAGAAACAGGTACAAATGTATCCTAACAGGTCCAGCTCAAATCCCTTAACAGACCCAAAATTAACAGTCGATTTCCTTTCCAAATTCTGTGGGTGTGGGAAATACTTGAAGACAAGTTACTTTATAAAATATGTTGATTTTATTGAACATATGCCCAAAGTCAGTCACTTATTTCAGATATTATTCACTACATGTATGTAATTTTAGCTCCTACCGGTAGGAGGAAATGCGATGAAAATGTTGTGTATAGGCCTACATGTATGAGATAACAGAGTCAAGATAAAGAGCCAAATCTGTAGAACAAAAATGACAAATGAGGTCTTTTAATTTGTAAACAATAAACAAATAAAATTCTGTACAAATATACATTGTACACAACTTGTACATGTATCTGTGTGATACTTTCAGGTACATGTACAGTGTACATTGCACTATATTTAATCATTCCTGAATCCACAGGCAACATAAATTCATGTCTTGTAGGGAGATACTTCAACCCAGTCTTTACTGACAATCCTCCCAGGAGATTTCTGATGATTGGAGGGCATGAAATGAGCGTTACACCCAATGAGTCGAGAGGCGATCAAAAGCACAAAGGCAGCACAATGGTACCTGACCAGCTAATGCCAGGGCGCACAATGTAGGCCTACAGTGTACAGGACTAGATCGTCTATGCTTGGCCTGGTTGGGTTATACAGCTAACACGCCAGCCATGTTATCAGCGCATTACTGCACTGAATAACCATGACTCAGGCTGGTAGATCCCTCGATACACCAATTCACAAGGAGCATTATTTCTGCACCGGTGGGCCATGATTCCAGTCACTGAATTCACCTGTTACGCATGTATTGAATTCCTTTATGGCTTTGATTGTAAAAGTAATAAATTGAAGGCTATGTATGTGGCCTGTTTATGTTCTGCATGGCATTTTGCATGCAACAAACAGGCCTATTATATTTAAATTAAAAGATATCAGTATTACTAAAATTAAATTGTAGTGTGTACATGTATTTTTAAGGTCTTTAAATGTAAAAGCCCCAAATGTACATTTACATAAAAAAAAATCCACCACACATTCATAAAATTAAAATCTGTAGAAACAGATACAAACACACTAGCTGACTAGGTCGTCTTGCATCATGTGCATGGGAGATAAAAGCTTAGAACCATGACAAATTAAATGTTGATCTGAACACAAGACTAGTTAAGACAGTGTTAGCAGTAGTGACATTACTGAAAATCTTTAATCAATGGAGTGCCTGGGCTTGCGTGTACAACGCGCAACGTTACGTGATCTTCTCAGTTGCTGTGTTGTCGAGGCCTATCTCATCTCATCTGTCAAAATGGTTATTTCACAGCAACTGACCGGCAATGAATAATTGTGACTTGACAAAATTACATGACAGAACGAACAGATTCACAGGAAAGACCACTCACCCTGAAGAATACAGAACTGGCATCAGAGTAGACAGATCGAAGAAAAATCCCGAAATCCAGAAGGGAATTTTGCTGAGGAAATCGGACAGAACTCAGCAAACCCGGCACAGCAAAGCATATGCAGGCGGCAGATTAGGAATAGGAGCGGCCTTTAAATCATATATGGCGCCCTCAAGTGGTCAAAGCTGCTGAATTACAAGCCTGTAAGTCAAAGCCTTTTTGATTGGTTTATCGCAAGAACCCAGTGTACTGGTGGCCAATAAAAATTACTGTTAGTGGGATTTTCTTTCCACCCGGAATTTGCGCCCATGTGCATTGAACGTTTATTTGTGCAGATAGACGGTGCGTAAACATCTAACTTTCCGGTTGAAAATTTTGCTGATATCATTGTTGCACTGACCTGAGTGTGTCACACATTTCCCAGCATCTCATCTCCGATTTGTACAGTCCAGTGCAAGGGAAAAAATCTGCAAAATGAGTTCCGTTTCGAGCCGCGCTATCGGTGCGATTGTGGGAGGTTTTATTGCTGATGCTGCAGGTACGGTAGGGCCTCGTGCATTTACGAATACTTGCCACTCCCTCAAAACAGACTGGGTTCGTTGCTTGAGCTAGTCATGGAGCTATAAACACAGCTTTCAGAAAATCACACACACTCAAATTTGTATCCTTGTGGAGACATTTCTTTGTTTTCGTGTAGTAAAGTTTTTGAGTTTCAAAGTGAAGTTTCAAAATGCTCTTATTTAAACCAGAATTAATTTCCTTGACTGAAATTTCAAATTAATAATAGATAGTGGATATTTTGCCGGAGGTAATGACGGCAAACTAACATTTACTAAAGGTTTGCCGGCGGCAATCCATATCAACAGAGGGCGCTGTACTCTTTAAGATAGGGCTGCATTATAAGATGTATTAAATTCCCACCAAAAGTTGTGAAGCACGTTTGGTGCAGTGGTTAAGCAAAAGCTCTAGTGAGCGGGACGACTCGAGTTCGATCCCGATCCCCGCCACATTTTAAAGGTTTTTTTTCCCATCCCCAAATAAATAAGAATATTCTTCTTTTATTATTTTAACATGTCTCAAACATTTTATTGCAGAGTATTACATTTTCTTTTTCAGATTTGTGGCTCAGAGTTTTCAGAGTTTTCTAAAACTCTTCCATTTGCGACAGATCAACCCACCTTGGAAATTCCTAGTTTTTGAGTAAAATCCATATATCTATTTCGTGAAAACCTTGTGGAGACTATTCATCTATAGAAATTGCCCTGTTGAGACATACATGTAGGCCTATACAATCTTTTGTTCCCTATTGTGGAAATGTCTCCACAAGGATACAAATTTGAGTACACACACACATTTCAAAGTTGGGCCTATATGAATTTGCTTGGTAATCCGCAAGATTTATATCATTAATTTTTGCACTGACTTGTCTTAGCCCCATAAATGTGGCCAATTTACTGGACTACCTCCGTAAATAAAGGCCACACTTGGAACATGTACCCGAAAATGTAGATCTTTGCCAAATTTAGATTTTCACATTTAGACTTTATTCGTAGTTTGTTTACGCTTCAGAAGCACACTCACTCTCTTCATAGCGATAGAAAAGAAGTCCCGCATTTTCAGATGTCTACTTTTCGTGTAGGCCCTAATTCCGTGTTGGATATTAGATATGCAAACGTGTGCATACGAACCTGGAAATTATACGAAATTTAGACATCTGAAAAAGAAGGGACTACTTTTCTATCACTTTAAAGAGGGTGAGTGTGCTTCTAAAGCATAAATAAACTACAAAGTCTAAATGTGAAAATAAAAATTTGACAAAGTTCTACATTTTCGGGCACATGTTCAAAGTGTGGCCTTTATTTACGGAGGTAGTCCAGTAAATTGGCCACATTTATGGGGCTAACACTGACTCACCTACATAATCATTTTAAGTAAAATCAGTGGATATTTGACCGAGTGCATGTGTGAACCGGTCTCCGATATTTATTTAGCTCTTTTACCGGCACAACTTTTTTTACCATGATGAATCTTCGTCTGGTTCCATGCTTTCTTTGTCGTGACTTCGTAATCGTAAAGACATAATCCACGAGATGGGAACCAGGGAAATCGTATAGTCTAGGGCCCTTTCCCTATCTAGTTGGTGACATTTAGAACAAATTTGGGAAAATTTGGGGGTAAAATGATGTTGACGACGACAAAATGCAACATAAAAATAAAGATGGGGATCACCGTATGCGCACGATGTACCATGAACGCGCAATACCGCGCTGAATCGCACAGCACCAACCGTAAATTGCGTACAAAAATTGCAGTTTCTATAAAATGCGAGACCGGTTCATGTTCAATAAACAATTCGTTCTTTTAATTATTAATTAATGCCAAAATGGGAGTGTGCGCTCAATGCAGAAAGGGTGGTGCCACTGCCTTGTGTGTGCATGTGTGCTCAGTTCATTCATGCGAGTGGCTCCAGGTATACATGCTTTTATTTGTCACTTTTCAAGTATTATGTGCATTAAGATTGTGGGTGTTTTATTGTCAGTGATGTGTTGATTCATTGATTTTTATTATTGTGGGTGAGAAAATGTAGCTTTAGAACAAAACAAAACAACAATTAAAGGTGTATGGAACTCCAAAGGGTGCTTTGAATGTTAGGATCATTATTTTTAATCCCATGACATTGACAATGTTTTATGGGAAAACATAAGCACACTAAGATTACAATATCCTTCTAAGAATTTATCAAGGAATGACGACATCTTGAAAAAACATGTAGACAACCATATTGCCGGATGCCTTTCTCCCTAATTGTAAATTTTGTAATACATTTATATGCATAATTTACAGATTATTCCAAATTGGTAATTTATATTTGTTCAAATGTCAGAATACTAGTAATATTAAAAGCTTGTGATGACAGAAGTAGGTAGACTAGTATAGACGCCATGGGTAGACAATAGTCTGAATGGCAGGTCCCAATGGCCCAATACAGCATTAACTTGGCTTCTAATGGCACCATAAAAACCTCCCCTGATACCAATAATGTGCCAGTTATTTCTTCAGTGCCTAATATTTCATCCTATACTAAATTGTTTGGGTTTTTCAATTTTTATTTTTGTCATTGGACAACAAAAAATCATTGCAAGTAGCCTGTTGGGCACTAAAACAAGCCTGTATTTATTTTCAATAAAGCATTGCCTGAATTTGTCAGTGTCACCACTGTCCCCCTAGATGATTGGTCCCCATTTTGACCTTAGGCTTCACCATGACAATGCACTAACCTGTCTGTACTTTCTTCAGAGGTCCTGCAGTTTTGTCCTTTGGAAGCTGTCTATTGACCAGTTGCTTTGTAATTGACAGGTGATATGTGATTGACACTCTTGTATTTGTGGTCATTTGTTTGTTACATGTAGGTCAACACTGGTGCTAGCACCAGCTGGTGACCTGCATGGTTAGTGTGTCAACTCCCATTAGTCTTGGCCAAGTACAAACTAGTCAATCCTTATCAGTTTGAAAATAAGATGTTAGGGGAGTTTCAAACTGTGTTGTTATAGGTGTCTGGATTTCTGTGGTAGTGTGCATACATGTACATGTACATGTACATGTATATGAATACCAATGTATTATAAATTAATTTTCATTTTAAATTTTTCCATTTATTGTAAAATTACAAGATTTGTATTGTTTTTGCTTTCAGCCGTTGTAATAGAATTCATTTTAACCCTGATCCTCCCAAATCTACTTAACCCAACCCATTTTGGGACAATTTTATGGATTTAGAAATATAGAGCATGCACGTTTGTCTAATGCACTTGATATTTATTTATGATGTATTGTTTTATAGTAATACATAGAATGTTCCATTGGTTTTTGTACTTTGTAATATTCTGACAAAATTCATGAAAATTCTTAACAAAACTGTCTCTTAATTAATATTTACTTGCAAGTTAGTACATTTGAGCACAAAAAAAAATGCAATATCATTATGAAGTACAAATTCTATCATGGAGCACAAAGCCTGTACATGTACCTGTATATTTGCATGTCATTTAATCAGCCTTGCAGTCTGTTCATAAGCATGTCTGATCGTATACATGTAAATTGTATGCATGTGACATTCAACAACCTTGGACCCATAATAACCCACACAATATGTTTCCATGGCAATGTATAGAATCCTAGGGTTGCCCGACTGGTTTGTGACGGAACGGGCCATGGGTATCAAACCATGACCAGACTTAAATGGAATACGATAATTATGAACATGTATGCCTCTAAACAGCCAGGGACGAACCCTTTTCCACAAGACTCTCCTAGTAATCAAATTTTTTTGGGGAGGTAGGCACTTTTAATAATGAAAAAATAGTTGAATAAACCATTATCCCAATCGAAGAGGAGACAAAGAGAAGGCCAAAAATGAAAGAGTGCCAAGCCTTACAACTCCTTTCGTGGCAGCTGAACTGCTGCTTGTGTAGGAGGCGGATACTAGGGGTTCGGTGAGAGGGGTACAGGAACTAGCCAGTGAAACACTCCAACACTGTCTTGTGACGTACTGTACTAGCTAACTGATCGGGCCTTGAACCTGAACCCACACTTGCACATGGCCAGGTCAACTATTAAAAGGCCCAGACAGATCCATCCCTGTGTTAATATATTTTGCACTTTATTGAATACATGTTCTGGAACATCGGTTGTGTGTTGCATCAGTAAATGACATACAATATGTAGTGTAACCCTTCATTACATACATTTATTATGATCTGATCCAGTCAAATTTTTTACACCTTTTCTGCCTGTCCCCTCTTGACACCTGTGGACTCCTCCCCTCTCCCTGCCCTCCCCCTCCGCCCACACCTGGCCCAGGCTCACCCCATTGCTGCCAAAACCAGATTGACTACTTGAATTTCTGCATTCAGATACTCATTTGTTTCTTGGTATGTGCCTTACAAAATAGATAAATGTCCATCTTAGTTTCTTCAGTAGAGTGCCCATCACACTGTCTGATTATTCAAACCCAATTTGCCATGGCTTGGTGGATGTCAGTGGCGCCATGCAGCGTGGGCTTGTTTGCTTGCCTGCGTCTGTGCCTTGTCAATTGAATGCTTCCAGCAGGTGCTATTTAACTTGTTGATGACTGAGCCAACATCAAATATTCATGCACTTTACATCAGATAATATTATCGCAGTACTTAATGCAACCCTCACTGTTTGAAATTGAATTCATTCATTAGTGCTGACTCTGCTGTTGTGTCCCTGAAATTGTTCATTAAATAATTAATTCAGTTGAATCCATAAACTACAGTAGTGATTAAGAAAAACAAGCCTTTACTTTTCTGTTTTTCTTCCATCAGATTATATTACAGTATTTTTGGTACTTTTTCAGGTAGTTGCATAAAATTGTAATTTAGCCGTTTGCTTATTTTGCTATAAACAGCAAGCCGTTTGTGTATTTTTACCAGGCAATTTTTTAAAATATCAAAAATAGTACAAACAAGGCCCTTTCACAACTGTTTCTGGAGCACATAATCTGTAGTTTACCTT